GCGTGGCTGAGTGTGCACGGGGCGTGCCTGAGTGTGCACGGGGCTGCTGGGGGGCGTGAAAGACAAGGGGTCTGGAGAGCAAGAAGTGCTCCGTGCCCTGAATCAGAACCCGTACACGGGTTCACCCTTCCACGGTGTGGAAGGGCAGTTGCCTAGAAACAGTCCAAACACGGGGTCTTTGGCTCGTGTCCTCCAACAGTCAGGCTTCTTCAGTGACAGTAAGTGCAATGGGTACGGCATGCACACCGTCTGCCTCCCTCAGGACACCTGCAGGGTAAAACGTGTAACAGAAGGTTCTACTCAGTGGTGACGTCAGCGACTCCCAAACCACTTACCCATAGAAAAACCCAGTTTTAGGAAGCATTTTCGTGCCCATAAAATCCGAAAGTCGCCAAAAAAACTGCAAGTTCTCTAGGGTTTAAATGATGTCCGTTTTAAGGGTGACAAAACTGGCTAGAAGTGATCCCACTTTCCTCTGGATCTGGGACACGCTTTCCAAATTGAATGTACAAAATACTGATTGACAGAAGATGCTTTAGGACATAATTTAGAAAATCAAACAGGATGACTCCATTTGCAAAAATTCCATTTCTCTACAGCTGGTCAGAAATACCCCAGAAAGAGAAGCAAGTCATCCATTCCTGACCAGGGGAAGGCCTTCCGTCTTGATGTGGGCTGCGCTGTGGCAAAGCACCAACCAGCCCCGCCAGAAGCAAGCCCGCAGGCCCGGGGTTCACAGAGCCAGGAAGCGGGCCCCTGACAGAAGGCCTCATCCCGGCTTTTGTGGCTTTTGTGGCAGGCGTGGCTCTTCCACTGTGCAGCGGCTGGTTTCCTGGCCTCGGGGCTCACGGGGCAGCAGTGGGCCCGGCCCGGCTTTTAGGACATTTCGTCTCTCTGCCGGAACAGGGAGTTTTTGCAGGGCCCCGGTCTGAAGCAGGGCTGCAAAGGAAACGGTGATCTCAGAAAAATGCGTCCCCGAAGGCTCAGACTGCAGAAAAGACTGTGCTCTCAGCCAAAGGGGCAGACGCAGGAGGCCGTGGGGGAACAGCCCAAGCGGATCAAGTCAAGTCAAAACTGGGTCCCTGCAGGGGCTCTGGAACATCTGCAGGTCAGCGTGGGGTGGGGTCTGATCCAGCCAACCCCCACCAGCTGCCCCCTGGCAAGGGGCCAGGGGGCGGAGACAGGAGGAGGTGGGGCGCCCTGACCAGGAAGGGGGGCAGGAGGTGGGGCGCCCTGACCAGGATGGGAAGACAGGAAGTGGGGGTGTGGAGGGTATATGGAGGGCAGAAGCAGAGGACAGCTGTAGCAAGGCCTTCTCACCACCCCGTGTGGCTCTCATCCTCAAGAGCACCAGGACACGCCCCCCACCACGGGAGGCCTGATGTCACCCCCCAGGGCGCCCTCCCAGATGAGTCCCGCTACACTGAACAATTCTTTGGCCTCAGGACAAGGTCTGCGCATTTCCCATCTCCGAAACACTCCAGGACATCACGGTTCTCCAGACTTGGTGTCCTGCTGCTTCTGGGGGTGCACCCAGCTGCTCCCTGATTCAGCCGGGCCTCTTCTCATTCTGTCTGGCCACCTCTCTACATGCCAAGTCCGTCCAGATGGGACCCCACTCCCTGTAGCTAGGTTGGGGACGGCTCCTGTCTGGGCCAAGCTTGCCAATGCTTTATGCACAAGCACGTGCAATCACAGGGCAGCCAGAAGGCTGGGGCTGGGAGGTGAGGCAGGAGGGTCAGAGGGCTGGGGCAGGGGGAAGGCAGTTTGCCTTCCTTTCTTACCCTAAGTTTTCCCAGCAGCCCATTATCTGCTGAGCTTCTGAGCTGGGTTACTCACCCCCTGGTCGGCTGCTGGAGCTGAGTCCCTCCTCAGCTTGGGCCCCGAAGTATGGGGCTGAGACCCCGGGGGCTCCCTGCCAAGCAGGCAGCTGAACGCCTCAAGAGTCCGGGGACAGTCCCAGGGGCCTCCGTAGATTTGCAGGCCTGTTTGCACTCCCCGAGGATACCCAGCTTCCAACCTGCCCATGTTTGTAGGAGCCAGATGCCACCCCTTCTCCCCTGAAAGGGCACAGACCCCTCCTGCAGGCTCAGCGTCTTTTGCCTCCCACAGCTTAGTTTACCCCATAGGACGGGTCCCCACTTCTCCGTTCCTTCAGGGGTCACGGCACCCACCTTCCAACACGTGGAGAAGGCGCGTGGCCAGCCCTGCTCCTGCTGCTTGTGCTGTGACCGGGGGGTCTTCGCCTGCACGCTGCACCCCACCCGCTCTAGATGGCCCTGCTCCTTGGGCCGCGCATCGGCTGGCTCACAGCCTTCGAGGCTGCAGCGGGATATTTATTAGGGCCGGGGAGCCGGACGAGCCTCGTCGGGGAGCCCCGCGCTCCTGGTGCAGTGGGACCCTGGCTACTCGCTGCAGCGGCCACCAGCCCAGCGGGAGCCATCCTCTGCTTGCTGGGTTGCTGCCCACAGGGGCAGCCCGTCCTGCCTGCTGGTTTGCCGGAAGTTTCGTTTCCCTTTGGAAACAGGACCTGAACTTCAGCAGCACTTGAGGCTGCAGAGGTGAGAAGCGCCCTCCCAGGGGAAGACAGGGGGCTGCTCTAAAGTTTACCCCTTGGGGCTGGACGTCCAGGGTCAAGGCCCAGCAGAGCCAGCGTCAGGTGAGGCCTCCCTGGCTCGCAGAGGTCTTACTGAGTCCTCACTAGGTGGAGGGGCTGGCAGCTCCCATCATGGGGCTCCACCCTCACGACCTCATGACCTCCCACCTCCTACCACCACCACCGTGGAGGTTAGGATTTCAACACATGAATTTTGGGGGACGCATCCAGTGCACAGCACTGGCCCAAACTCACCCACACCGTGGCCGGACACTGTTGGTCCCAGGACGCTGCCAGGCAGCCAAGCCCACACGGAGGCACATGGGCCCACCAGCTGTTGCCCCGGGGCTGGGGGGCCCAAGGGAACCCGGCCTCGCCCCAAGGCAGGGTGGTGAATCCCGGTCTCCTTGCAAGCGGGGGGATAGACACACCTGCGTGGCCCTGGGTCCCAGGCAGCCTGCTGTCCCTAGCTGTCTGCCGCCCAGGAGGGGCTCAGCGCTCTGTTGGGAGGTACGCGACCACAGAGACAGTGATGGCCCCACAGGGAGGCCCTTCCCTGCACAGAGCCCGGCCAGACTTCTGACCCGTGAGTACAATATACGGTGTCACGGGAGATTTGTCTAAATGTGTCGGTATTCTAATGTAAGTGTAAAATTCAATGGGTGCCATGTCTTTTTTTTTTTTTTTACTTACTTATGCTGTAAGAAAACTTAGTGGTTTTGAGTTTTTTGAGATATTCATGAAGACCAAACACCTTTGAGTACCAAGGTTTCAATAAAATTCACATCAGAGTAGTTCTGTTTTATTTAGCTCGTAAAAAGACCAAGAAGTTCCACGGTTTCACTCAGCGCAAATATTATGGAGCCTGGTCTACAACAGATATTTCTGTATTTTACATGAAATTCGTTCCACTCATGATGTCACTCAAAATACAAACTGGCAAGTACGTGGGTCCTTGAACATTTCTCGGCACCTGCCTCGAATCACAGCATACTTTCCTACACAGTTTGTGACAGTCTCTGGAGTTTGTACCGAACACCCAAACAGGCAGGTGGTGTGCCTGAATCCCAAAGGGCCCACCAGGCCATCCCTCACCTTGCCAGAACAGAACGTAAGTGCCCCTCCATGGTTCATGGGGGAAGAAAAGGCAATTCGAACACTGTATTTTTAAATAAAAAGACTTTATTGATGATTTAAGATAGCAACTAACAATTTAAGGAAGCTTGGGAAGATATTACTTTCACGGTGGGGGTATATATGCACCTTGGAAAATATTTGGCTGGGTCATAAAATTAGCATTTTTAGTCATCTGTAAAGTGCTGAGAAATTTACCTCCGGTGACACCTGCAGTAATGGTTTTAAAGCCCTCAGTAAGTACGACACGGATGGATGAATCCAGGTGGGGCGCCACAGACTCGCTGCTCAGCCGCACACCCGGACGTGCGCACCGGCTTCGTGAGCGCAGAGCAGAGCCTGTGCGCCCGTGGGAGACACGGCGGAGTGACGGGGCGCGTTGAGGGCAGGGCTGCCCGCCTCGGCCCGCGTCCCACGGCCACGCTGACTAGCACCGTGAAAGAGCCGGCCAGCGCACTCTCTGCGCATTTCCTACAACAGGGAAACACACTTTTCGAACATGGGCATCAATACTCTTGGACGCGAGGAGGGAGGAAGAGTTTGGCGTTGATGCTCGAGTCCAAATGTTGATGAGGTTTTGAGCATTTTGGTTCAAAGCAAACATTATTTGTGAAAAGTTACAGATCATGTATTGACTGAAACGTTAACTGTTAATTTTTAATAGACAAAAAAGCAATATAAAAATACCACTTTGTTAAAATATACAATACACACAGGGCACCACTTTGGAAAACCCAGTTCACTTCAGAAAGCAAACCAGTCCAGCAGACCCACTGGACTGGTGTGTGTTCACTGGCTTTCTTCATTGTTACAAACTCTACTCCAGAATTTAAAGACAGACAATATAAATAAAAGCAGTGACTCTGAATCAAGTAAAGTTATTATTCTAAGAATTGTTAGTAAGTGTCCATACTACTGAACAGGCTATATCTTCCCAGACTGTTCTCAGTCTGCAAATTCTCAGGGTAGCAGGGCCCAGGAGTCGGTCTGGGGCACCCGGGGCGTGTGCGTGGACTGTGGCGGTCAGGAGCGCGGGGTGCCCTCCCGCAGCTCCCGACAGCCCCCGCGTGCTGCCTCCTCACAGCAGCTGCACCTGCCTCTGCATGGACAGAGGGGACGGGCCGGCAGTAACCCACCACCACGACACCACAACGATATTGCACGTGCCTTCCCCAAAGACCTAATTCATCCTCAACCAGTGTAGACAGTCTACAGCCCGCCAGCTCACCCAACCCGGCTGAGAGCCATCCTCGGCCGCCAGTGCCCTGACTCATGCGTTCAGCAGGGGGATCTGCCAGACCATGACAGAGGAGGCCAGCTCCTCTGGGCGCTGCTGCCGGGCCTTCCTGCTCACCCGCCGGTGGCCCTGGCCCCCACACGCCACCAGCACCGAGCTGGCTTTCGCCCTCCTGGCCCGCCTCCCTCTGCTCGGTAGGACGCTGGGGAACCGCAGGAGGTCATAGACTGTGCTCTCCTCCGATCTGGGCTCCAGGGAGCCCGAGCCCTGTGAGGGGGTCAGGGACCCAGAGGACGAGGAGAAATCGCTTCGGTGAGTCACGGAGCCCAGCGAGCCCCCCAGCCAGATGGTGTCTGCGCCACTCGGACTCGGGCCGGGCCCCTCGCAGGGCAGCGCCTCCTTCTGCTCTTCGTCCTGGGGCTCCGCGCCGGGGGGCGGGCTGTCTGCAGGCTTGTCCTTGTCTGTCCTGACAGCGGCGGTGGCCATGACCAGGAACTTGACAGGCCCATTGTGCGCGTGGTAGGAGACCATGCCTCTTCCTGAGTGGGCGTCATTCCGCGAGCACCGCATGCAACAGACAGGATCCCAGGGGAATCAGCGAGCATCTCTCTCTCTCTCGTCAAACCACAGAAACCCATGCAGAACTCAGACACCAAGGGACAGGTTAAAGCCAGAATGGTGTCCGGTCGCATCCTCATGGACTTCTACTTAATTCCCAGAAAGCTTTCAGAGTGATGGTCTAAACCCCTAATGCCCACATGGGACTCTTAGAGCAGTAAAGGAGCGGTGCTCCTGTGCCCCGTGCGAGGGTCCCCTCACCCACGCTACAGAGACACATGTGATTTTCCTAAGTCTCAACTGAAAAATTAAGTGCCAGACATGTGTCTGTTTTAGGCACAAGATGCTTAAAATACCAGCAGCTTCCTGCCATCTCTCATTATAAGAAGGTTCTAGGGTTTAGAACGAGTTCCTTCCATTGTTTAAATTGGGGACTTTTCTATCCATCTATCTAATTAATTTATTTATTTAGGGGGGACTTTTCAATTTAGGAGTGATGTGAACTTAACTTTAAAATCCTCACCTCACCCAAGAGCACATGTCAGAAACTACCCAGAGGTCTGTTTTGAAACAAAGATTATTCCCCGTCCCCGACCCCCCCACCCCTATGTTGTCAGGTGGGAACAGGGTGTCTACACTTTCCAAGCGCTTCACAGGTGAGGTGACAGGGACATGGCAAGTGTGTGCCCTTTTTCACCAAGTGCTTTAAGGCTGACACACGCCCGAGCCCTCACCTTCATCCCACCTTGGCCAAAGCAGATAAAATTACAGGATTCTTTAGCCAGGGTGAGCTGCCGTTCCTCCATGAACAGAGCAGACACCCCACAGGTACGGGGCGGGGGAGGGGCAGGAAGGCCCAGACACCAGCGAGGGAGGCGTCCCCCGACATAACAAGCGGGGGGGAAACATCTCCGGGTCACCTAGGGAAGGTGAGCACAGGCGTTTCCTACGCGCAGTGATTCCATGCCTGGCGTGCACCCCAGAAGGACGTGGGCCGGTATCAGCGGAGGCGGCCAAACACACGCAGAGGCATCGCAAGCAACACAGAACACTGGAGACTGAACAGCCGCCATGAGACACGTGGACGCCAAAGGCGTCCCCTACACCAGCGAGCATGAGTGAGCCACAGTCTCTCGTGCCAGTGAGGACGCCTCTCAGCAATAACGTTGAAACAAAAAGAGTTACGGAGAAATACCTACGTTAGGAGGCCATTCTCGGAAATGGGAAAAACAGCGAAAGTACAAATTTGGTTTTTTGAGGTACAAACTGGCAAGACTATAGGGAAAAATCAATGGAATGAGGATATGCAACTCAAGAGAACGGTTTTGTATGGTTGGGGGGAGGGGCACCAAAGGTAGGAGGGGCGCGCTCTGCCTGGGCCAGTGGAAGCTGGAGGGTGACCCCTTCACCAGCACCATGGAAACTGGACATGTTCATCACATGCGATGCTGTGTGTGCCGTATGTGGATCATAATAAAAACAGAAATGGAGACATGAACAAAACTGGAATCCTTGACCCTAACAGGTGGCTCTTGAACTCATGTAAACTACAGACCTATTTACGATAGTCGGTCACAGCTCGCTGAGGAAGGAAGGGCGTCTGAAGTCACATGAAATATTCTGGTGTTGTCATTAGGAAGAGGGTGTAGGAACAGAATCTTTATTAACATTCTGGTGAATTTCCTACAAATCTTTTTCTCTGAGATTTTTTTCCCACATGGCTGATATTATGTAATCAATATAAAATTTAAGACACCTCACATGCTGGTTTTACTCATAGAATTAACGTTTTTCCGTATCATTCAAAGCTCTCCACAAACATTGTTTTTACCAGCTTCGCTATATTCTAAAACGGCAGTACAACCATTTTCTTAAATCTCTCTTCACCCCTAATTTTTGTGTACTACTCTGTGCTACGAAAAACTGAATGCTGTGTCAAGTATCTTTTTTGCATCTTGCTTTTGTTCATAGACTGAGCTGCTTCCCAAGGCAGATTTCAGAACTGAAAAATCCTGACTCCAGACACACGAGCATTTTTAGGCTCCTGATCCAAAATGCCAAATCGCTTCCTGAAAAGACTGTACCCATTTGAACTCTACCAACATCACAAAAAACCTTGTTCAGATGCTGAGCTTCCTTCTTTGTAATATAAAATGTAAAAAAAAAGCATCCACTGCCATTGAGCAAAATCATGTATCTAAATGACAAAGAGTAGTAAGTGGCAACAAAGGGAACATGAAAATGTTTTTGGGGTAAGATTCTCCCTGGGCCACTAACATAAGCAGCAGAAAAACAGAAGTAGGAACTGATGATTCAAATTAACAGTCTATAGAGTATGCTAAAAGAAGAAAAAGTAATAATTCACAGTGTGTAAGCAGCTCCTGGGATGCGAGAGCATGACAGAGACGGAGGGGGCTTGGTGAGAGCACAGGACGGGACAGGGGCCCGGGAGGCGCAGGCCTGCGGGGGCGTCTACTCACCAGTCACCTTGGGGATGCCCTGCAGACGCGGGACGGGCAAGGCCACCACGATGCCCAGGCTGGTGCCGACCATCAGCAAGCCATGGCAGACAAGCAGGCTGGTCACGGACAGGCGCTGGTGCCCTGGACAGAGAGAGGGAAGTGGAGTGGTCTTGGCAGCCGCACAGCGCTGGGGACAGGCACTCGGTGCCCCCCCCCGGAAACACCGCCGGCCTCCCGCCAGAGCGCTTGCTGTGCTGAGCACGCCCTCCCGGGGCTCTCCAACCACACGCTGTGCTCACTTCCACTGCAGGGAAGAGAGAGACCAGGGGCCGGGCTTCCGTCCTGGGCACCCCAGCAGAAGGAGCCCCCACGCCTGCCAGGAGAGAGGGGCTCTACCGCGCCTAGGACAGATGTCTCCGCACACGCCCCGCAGCACAGCTCAGGCACAGCAGGTGACCTCCTGCACCTGCTGCTGGAAACAGCACGGGAAACGGCACGGTAAAGGTTCATGGGGAACAACGGAGTCAGACGGGCCTTCATGGCTTTGGCTGTTTGTCTGGTTTGGTTTTACAGCCACGGCCCCGAGACCCGGAAGCATCATCGGGCCGGGAGGGTACTTCTGGGCGCCGCGGGACTTGCCACTGCCATGCTACGGCCACGCTTCTGAGGAGAGTCCTGGGGACTCCCAGCATCCTTCTGCTCTAACATGGACACGCAGACAAGAATGGTTCAGTTTGCCCATGAGAAGCGAAGGTGGCATTTAAAACAACATTCTGCTTCTCTTCTGTAGAAATGAAGGTTACTTCCAATATGCCTGAATTCCACCTGAAGTCCATCTTGCAGAAAAAACATGGACACAAATGGTCTAATACCAGGGCCAAAGGCAGATTAACATGACCATTTTTATGAATTTTCTTGCAACGACAAACACACACACACACACACACACACACACCCAAGACCCCCTCCCCAAAAAACCCCAGAACAAAACCAAAACAAAATTTACAAAAAAATTAAAAGATTTGGTTTCATTTCTCAATATAGACATATGTTCTTTTAAAAGCTAATAGTGTTTTTGTCCCCAGGAATTCTGGACATCTGCCTGTTTGAATGACTTCATTTTGGAGATGGGTGGGCACTCTGTGTTGATTTTGCATACAGGTATAAAATACCTATAAAACATACAGGTACAGGTGTGCAGACACTTTCAGAAGCAAATGAGACCAACTCACAGCCATTATTACTGAGTGACACATCACATGCTGGAAGGCTTATCCACGTGCTCATAATAAACACACCCACAGAAGGAACAGAAGCAGCAATGAGCCTCAGTGTGGGAGGAAATGCACCAGCTGGGACTCTCACTGCACCTCCAGCCCTGAACATAACCACAGCACATGGGCAGGGCCCAGCTGCTGGCTCACCCAGGCTCAGCCGCCAACCGGTTCACTGCTGGCTCACCCAGGATGTAACCAGGATGCAGGAAGACACCAAACCCCAATCCTCAGTTTTGCTTCCTAATTCACAAATAATCTTGAGTCTGGTTTCATTTGCTGACGCTTTTGATGTGGTCAATGTGTATTTTTTTTTTTTTAAAGTCACACTGATTTTTAAAAAATCCTAATTTAGCCATTTTATGTGGCTAGGTCCCTCCTGGCAGGCAATGTGCTCACTCAGTGGGGACACAGAAAGGCTGATTTAACATGACCTCTCAGAACTTTTCCATCAAAATATTTTCCCTTGAATATTCCGGACAGCGCAGCAAAACCTCCATCATGGGGTAACTGTGACTGCTTGCGACCTACAATTCACAAAGCTCCTTCCAATGTGTTTGCTGTAAATTCTATGCCTTCATAACCCAGAAGTTTGCTCTACAAGATGTGCGTGCTCGTCACGGACAAGTTCACTGTCATTTGTTAGACAATGTGATGTGTGATGTGGTCAGTGCCAAAGAGCATGAGTGTGACTGTTTTCAGAACTGAATTCTGAATGGAAGACAGCAACCCTGCCCAGTCTGCACAATCCTAGAGTCCGCAAGTGGGAGTGTGCTCAGACCCCCAAGGATGACCCAGATTCCGTGAAGCTTTGTTCACGTCCAACAAAGGGCCTGAGTTATAGAATATCAATATTATTTTCAAATTTTGTTCTTTCTAGTGTGGGAAGTCTTCATCTTTAGAACCTACTGGAATTTGATAGTCCAGTAAGAGCACAAAGGGGTAATTTTATGTATATATGTACACGACACATCCCACCTGAGCCACGTCAAGGACACAAGTCTAGACTGGAGGTTTGATGTTCGTGCACACACAGAATGCGCAGGTGTGCGGGTGCCACTGGGCGGTCACAGACAGGAGTGTCCCGGGGGTGACACAGCCCAGTGGACTCCAATGTGCCTACATCTGCGTAGCATAAACACGTGCAGAGTCACCTGAAGGTAAAGCTGAGTGCACCAACACTTGTCACTAGGAAACACTGGCCTGAGGATGACACGGGCGGGAGGAAGGGAGGACACGGCTCTTTGGTTATCTTGTTCTCTGACTCACAAAATGCAATGCAAACCAGGCCAATTTTGGGTCACAGCTTTCCGAGTGCTGTATCCAACAGCCATGGTAGGAAGCATAACAGGTGCCAGAGCATTCTAGTGGGACTGAATTCTGCTCTCCACACCCTCCTCCTCCTTCCAGGTTCATGGGCCACGGCGGCAAGACAACCTCCAAGGTGAACAGGGTGTGTGGGGGGGCGTCAGATGCCCCCAGACACTGGGGGTAAGCGACTTCGGGAAACCATACGCCCCGGTCTGGACTGGATGCTCATTTTGTGCTTTTGCAGCGGCAGAGGGACACCGGGATGAAGACCCAGGACAGACGGACCCGGCAGACGTGGTCGGAGGGAGACCGGGACGAAGACCCAGGACAGACGGACCCGGCAGACGTGGTCGGAGGGAGACCGGGACGAAGACCCAGGACAGACGGACCCGGCAGACGTGGTCGGAGGGAGACCGGGACGAAGACCCAGGACAGAGGGACCCGGCCGACAGCGTTGGAGGGAGCGTGTGTTGGGACCACAGGGGCAGACCCGAGCCCAGGGTGGACGCCGGCATCTAGCCCACGGAGGGTGCACTCGGGGAAATGGTGTTGCCAGATGCCCGAGGCCCTCGCTGCCCACCCTCTTGGTGCTGCCAGGGCCCATGTGAGTCCATGATCAGCACACACAGAGCCACGCAGGTGGAAAAACAAGGGAGTCATTAATGGAGGGTAAAACCGGCCATGAACACGGTCACGAGGAACGGAGGAAACAGCACCCGTGTGTGAGTCTGTAAACGCCGTGTGGACTTGCGGTCGGCAGGGGTGGGTGGATCACAGTCCTGGGAGACAGGTGCTGGCCTGGGGCATGTCTCGGCTAGTCTGTGGGGGGCATGGACCCGCCGTGACCTCGGGGAGCAAGGGCAGGATGCCAGCGGGTCCGGGCTCCCCCTGCCGGGGCTGCTTATCCAGAGAGGCTGGGGGAACAGCGGGCGCAGGACTCGGGGGCTCAGAAGGCAGCCCCTTGGCAGCAGCCACCCACTGTCCCCCTGGATGGAGCCGGCCACTCATGGACAAGACGACTGCCCGTTCTGGTTACAGGTGAATCTGACTTTGTCTCCTGCCACACCCATGACCACAGACCCTCACTGCAAACATCTGTTCCACCAGCGTGTGTGCAGGAGAAACCCCATCATCCCCAGAGAAGCACCCATGCACTCACAGAGCCAGGAGGCCATCCTCCATTTCCTTCAATGTCAACTTGTCTGTTCTGTAAATCTGGTGTCCTCACGACACAAAAACTGCCTACATTCTTTAGGAAGTGATTTGTACAGAGTTGCCCCCTGCACCTGATCTCCTCGCCACATGCACACGTGTGCACACACGGCAACTACGAAGTGGAGAATGTGCTCGTTAGCCTGGTTGCACTGAGCCCTTCACAATGTACACAGACATCAAAACGAGGAGCCGCACGCCGGAAACAGCTGTGTGTGTCAGACATCCCAGTAAAGACATAAAAACAGCAAAGGAACTGCTCTCACGCACTCACCAAGCCCAAATGTGTCACCCACCCTATTTCCCGCTCCCCTTCGCCCTCAACTCCTCCCTCCCCATGTCCAACACCAACGTTCCACTTGTCAGAGGCAGTCTTTCTAGAACTTGACCCCTTATCCTGTTTTTCATGCATCAACGGCAACTATTCCTCTCACACCTTCTGCTGAAGCTACACACGTCTTCAACATTGTTACCAACCACCACCCACCACCACCCACCACCAATCAGCCAACAACCAGCCAACAACCCTCAACCAGCCAACAACCAACCACCAACTAACAACCACCCACCAACAACTACCAACAATTACCAACCAGCCAACCACCATCAACCAGCCAACCACCAACCAAATACCAACTAGCCAACAACCAACCAACCAACAAGCACCAACCGACCAACTACCAACCAGCCAACCACCAACCACCAACTAACTACCAACCAACCAACCACCACCTATCAACCAACTGATCAACAACCACCAACCGACCAATCACTAATGGACAATCAATCAACCACCAACCACCAAACAAAAACAAAACCTCCCAGTGGTACCACCACAGTCTTACTTCCTTTAAATGATGGATAAAAAATAAATATGTATACACAGGATACCTGGCCAGAATATAATTTGCATTGAATTTGTGAGATTTTGATAACTTGCTTTACTGCCTACATAAGCAGGGGACCCAGATAACTTCCAGGAGGTTTTCTTCACACTTATGGGCTTGCAGAATTTAAAATCCTATCAAACATGTAAAGTCAGCTTGATTGGGGTCCTCTGATCTGGCTTATTAGCCTTTCGCTATTAACTTTTCCAAACTGAAATCTAAATTCAATCTCTTTACCTCCCTGGTCCCCACTGCTCTTAAAACATTTGCAGCAAAGCTCCTCCCTCACACATGTGCACACACACACACGTAACCCACACTCTCATCTGCACACAATCAGTCCTCACACATGCACACACACATGCACATATGTGCACACGCACCCACCCACACTCATGGACACACAAGTGCACCCCCACGTGCACGCACACACACACCAGCACTCAGGCCATGTGCTCGGCCGTCCCCTGCCTGGTGCTCCCCTCCTGGCCCCTTGGATGCACACTGCAGGGCTCCCCTGGCTCCTGACACCCCTTCTTTCTGACTCTGCATGCTCCTCTCACCTCCTGAGGGTGGGATCTCATGCTCTGACCTGACACTTTCTGCCCTGTCCCCCGTCCCTCATCACTCATCGTCCATCAAACTCCCCAACTGTGGCCCCTTTCCTGACACCCCGTCCACGCGCCGGACCCCCTTCCAATTTCCTACGAGGCTGCTCTGCTCAGCAGCACCAAATGCAATGGATACTCTTCCCCAAACTGGCTCTCTGTGACCCCATGTCTGTTGATGATTTTACGTTCTTCCCAAAAACCCAGGCCCCAAATCTCAGACTTTCTGGCCCTTCCTCTCCCTCGTCAGTCTTGCCCCAGGGGACTCTGCTTCTCCCTGGGTTCTCATGGCTGCTTGCGAGGTGGGCCCCTCTGGACCACAGGCGGGTCCCCACTGCCCCGCTCCTGCCCTTGCAAACTCGCGGCCCCACAAACTCTCCGACCTCTTCCTTCCCTCTGTCTGTCTGCTCCTACACAACAGCCACCTGCTTATCCGTCAGCTCCTACACAACGGCCACCTGCTTATCACCACACCTGCTATGTGCCTGCAGGTCCCAGCCACGTGCCTGCATACGCTAGTGGTGCCTACACGGACCAGTGATGTGCCCACGTGTGCTCGCTACATGCATATGTAGAGCAGCCGCGTGTCCGCACACACCAGCTACATGTCCACACACACCAGCTACATGTCCACACACACCAGCTACACGTCTGCACACACTGGCCGCGCGTCTGCACACACCAGCCGCGCATCCACACACACACCAGCTACATGTCTGCACACACCAGCTACATGTCCACACACAACAGCCGCGCATCCGCACACACCGGCCGCGCGTCCGCGCACACACCAGCTACATGTCCGCAAACACTGGCCGCGCGTCCGCACACACCAGCCACGCATCCACACACACACCAGCTACATGTCCGCACACAACAGCCACACACTCTGCACACACCAGCTCCGTGTCCGCACACACCAGCCGCGCGTCTGCGCACACACCAGCCACATCTCTGCGCACACACCAGCTACATGTCCGCACACACCGGCCGCGTGTCCGCACACACACCGGCCACATGCTCATAGTCAGCAGCTACACACATGTACCATCTGCATGTTTATACACAACATACACGTGAACTACATGCTTATACAAACCAGGTACGTGAGCATGTTCTAGCTACATGCTTGTATACACCAGCTACGTGAAATACGAGTGTATACATACTGGCTAGAAGCTTACAGACCGGCCACATGACTGTACCTACACGTGTGTACACGCTAACAACATGCTCATAGGTACCAGGTGCCTGCTTGTACTTACTGGCTACGTGCTTACGTATATGCTACTCACATGTTTCTGTATGTGTAGCACACACTACACGTATGCACACGCACACACTAGTCATGTGTTCACACGCTACCTGCTGTCCCCACAGTCCCATTTCTGCACCTTTGCCTGTTTTATCCCCTCTGCTGGGGGCACCCTTCCTGCTCTGTGCCTGGTGGGCTCCCAGCTGAGATGCTGCGTCTCTGGCTTCCCCCAAAAGCCCTCTCTACTAAAAAGTGATTCTTTTCCTTCTCTCTGTTCATCAAGTTGAGGTCCCGCTCCCAGGGTCTGGTCTTACCTGGCTCAACTACAAGCAATGTCTATGGTCACAGGCTTCTGAGCTATAAAAACCATGCTCTAATTTGGCTCTATGCAACGCACAGACTCACTCCTGTGTCCTTGCCTGGAAGGGGCCACGCCTGCACTCCACGCCCCCCACCTTCTCCCTCAGGACCCTCCCCATCCGGATCTAATTACCTGGCAGCATATGGTGAACGGGGGTGGCTATGTTGATGTCCTGCAGATGCTTGAGTGTCTCGGTGTGAAAGAGGCGAAGTGTGGACCCGGAGGTGAAGGCGATCCAGATCCCCACGCCAGCAATGACCATGTGAGAGACCACCATGCCTTCTTCCTGGTGGGCCTCGAGCTGGTTCTGGAAAAATCAAGGAGAAGTGATGCACGGGGCTCTGGCTGCAGTGGGGGCCTTGCCACCACGTCACTGCCTGCTGCGCTGGCCCTCTGCGCCGCATCTTAACCCCCAGGTCATACAGCTGTCCTGGCCGCGAGTGGCCAGCTGGCACTCCAGAGGGGCTCAGCGTGACCCCCAAGGACCTACAGCGAGGGGGCCACTACTCCAAAACCACAGGGACCTCTGTGTCAGCAAGACACACAGTAGCAATCAAATTGCCCCTGTTCCCACTCCCAAGCAGTATTCACGGTATTTCCCAGTGACCGTGAAACCCAAGAGCTCGCTAGAAGGCCTACCCACCACCAAGGTGGGCCCCAACAGTCACTGGCAGGTTGGCGAGCACGGGAAAGCAAGAGCGACACAGGAGCGGGGAGTGGGAAGGTCTGGGAACGTGACGGCCAGCCAGCTCCCTGGGACACCGGCGTGGAGCCGGCAGCCCCTTCCCCGAAACCTGAGCAGGGAATGCAGGCCCACGCCCTGGCCTCGGGCGAGCCCTGTGAAGGCCTGCCAGGCCCCACTGCTCCAAACCCTCGTGGGCTGCCCGCGGGGCTCTGGGTCTGCACCCACCCCCTGGCCTGGTCCCCGAAGGCCACCTGCTACTTCCCTGCGGGACCAGGTCCCTCCTTCCTGAGCATCTGGCCGAGCTCTGCCCCTTGGCTCCGTCCTGCCGACCCTGCTCCACGCAGACCCGTGACAGGAGAATTTTGTAACTTGGCTGCAGCATAGATGGGGAGCCCCAGGCGGGCAGCGGGCGGCACTTCCTGACAAGTCTGGAGAAGGGGCGTACAGGGGTGAAGCTTGCAGAGTCGGTATGTAGACACGGCATCTTAAAGAAGCCCCTGAGCTCTGCGGCAGATCAAATCCCGCACAATCCTCCAACCCGTGGGAAACGAGATGGGCTTGCCTCTCTGATCTCAGGGCTGTTCCCCAACATCATGGAACAGGGGGGTTTTCAGAGCCCATCACCCACCAAGGAAGCCGTGTTTACACATCTTGTGTGCCCACCCCACACAGAAAGGGGTCGCCGGGCTTCACCCCTCACCCACCCTGCGCCCTGTGTGGCACGCCGTGAGCTGAGCGGAGGGTGAACACAGGCATTTCTACCGCAGTTAGCGGCAGAGCCCTTGTCCACCTGCACCCCGAGGAATCCAGACAGGGAGTGGGGCCCCCATGTTCCGAGCTGGCCTGGACGCCCCACTCCACACAGCCATCACGGGCACAGATGAGGCTTCGCTCTTCTGGGGGCTTCTCGGGGAGAAAGTTCCATTTTGTCTCTCAGGAACCAGTACAGAATTCCCGACGTGAGGGCTGCAGGAAGCGGAGGGTTAACTACACCCCATGGCCACGCGTCCGCCCGTGGGGCTGACTGATGGGGCGGCAGAGGATGGGCCGCAGGAGATGGGCACACACCCCTGCACGCTCCCCCTCCCCTTGTGAGGACAGGCTGGCACTGCCCGCGGTCACTGCCACACGTCACCACAGCACAGGTTGCTGGCCCTCGATCGAATCCAGCAGGCCCAGGGCCCAGAACTATTTCTAGAATGTTCCCAGGAGTGCTCCTGGGCCACATCCACCTTTCACTGCTTTCCGGCAAGTGATTCATTCCCTGCTGTTCGTCGTCCATCCTCTGTCTTATTGGTCATGTCACGTGCCTCTGTGCTGCGCAAAGCGCCACGGGAGCGCAGGGGTGCTGGGGTCGTGCACTGACCACGACCACTGCCGTGTGCTTCTTCCCGGAGCCGCACCCTCCGCAGGCCCGTGGGTCCCGTGGGGTCCGCCCGACTCGCTCCTCCATATGGGTGGTCTCTGGCAGCACCCCCCTAAACTGCCGGCAAACCGACCTTCAGAGAACAGGAAGGTCAGAACCCCTGCACATTAAATCCCTCAGTGGCTCACCATCGCCCACGGCACAGGGGCGTCCCGGCAGGAAGGACACATGCGCCCCAAGAAAGCCAACCAGACTCTCTGCTTTCCGTGGGACGCCTCCAGCATGGTGAACCCCAACAGGCCCCCTGCGAGGACTCATAGGCCCCGGGGAGAGAAGCCCCGGCTCCTCGGGGTTCTGCCCGCACCTGTGCCAACCACACCTCTCACCACGCCGCCGGACTCGCCCATGCCTTTCTCCCACCTGAGGTGCTCCGCTCCTTCCCTTCCAGGGGTGCCTGCTCTGCCTGGACAGCCCGGCCTCATGCGGGTTCTCAGGCGGGAATAATTTAGACTGCTTCTGTCGGCACTCTGTGTTTTTGGCATCATAGTCATGATTCCTGTCTTCCTGCCCACAGCCTGCGTGGCCAGAGCCACGAGTGGCTGCCTTTCCGTCTTGCAGGATGCTGGCGAGGCACATCCAGGACAAAACCCAGAAGAGCTATCTGTGGTCCAACGGGAGGTGCTGCACCCCGCGGGTCTGGCTGTGGCACCTGGTGACCTTCCCAGAGCGCGCCCTCCACTGCCCCTCAGCGGGCTCGCGCAGTCTACGACCGTCTCCCACGTCCGCATGGACTGCCCGCTCCTGACCACTGTCCGCCTGCGCTCTGGCACATGAAGGAGCTCCGGGCCGGAGGCTGACACCCCACCTTCTAAGATCACAGAACATGCCGCCAAGTGTGTCCCAAAGTAGGCTTCACGCATGTCTTAAAACGCGTCTCAGTGAGCACTGGCAAAATGGCTGAAGGTCCCTACCCTGCTGAATGGATCATCCTTCCTAAGGAGAGTCTGGACAAACATTTTCAGGAGTCCATAATGACTACAGTTTCTCACAAACTTGCGGAGGTTCACACCAGTCACTGCAACGAGCCCACAGTGTGCTGGCGGAGATCAAGGTGATCCCTCCCCTGAATGGGTTCCTTTCTCTACTACCTTTCATGTGATGGTTGGAGGAATTTTTAGTCGTGACATGATTCATTCCATTGGCTGAAAACAGTACTGTTAGTATCTGGGTTTACTTAGGAGGTAAGGAATGGTCATGGACAGCTTGGCTTCTTTTTCTTCAAGTTTCACAAGAACTCTTTTTCCATTAAGGACATTAACTCCTGGTCACAGAGATGAATGGTATTTTCTCCATTTGTCATTTACAAAACTTTCTTTCTGTACAAACACACACACTTATTAAATGTGAACAAAATAGGTTCTAAAACTTGACCACGTTCATTGTTTTGTTTATTATGGCAACGTCAGAGCATGTGTCTGGCTTAGGAAATCTCCCCCACTACAGAGTAATGTGAACATTCTACGGTTTTCTATCTAAGTTTGTGATTTTGTTTATGTTTTAAAATTACCTCCATCTGGAACGTTTAGGAGGGAAAAGACCCAGGGCTTGGGGCACGGCTCCACATTTCCACATGGCGGGCTGTCTCCTGATCCTTCACTGAATAATCCAAGTGCTGCACTGACTGGAAGGGCCACCTGACCTGGGGCCAATTTTCCCCGTGTCCTCGAAGACTATTATATTCATACTAAATACATTTTTTAAAATAGTGTGTTTGTGTTAATTAGCAGGTAAACAATGAACAATTCTTCCACAGACACATAGCTACATGAAGGTTAGCTGAATTATCTAGTTAATCCTGCCTTTCACAGACAGATCTAGGAGGAACTTTTCTCTCGGTGCAGGGCCATGGGCAAGAGGCTGCCTGCCTCCACCACAGACCAGGGGCTCCCTGACCGCCAGCACTGGAGCTTAAGTGGGGCGGGTTCTAGAAACGCATCTCTTTCACGCTGGAGACTCACTTAGAACGACTTACCTCTATCGCGTGGGTCTCGGTGCTGACTGTGAACACCTGGCCCCCAGAAGCTGCCCACAGCGTGTCCTCCGTCGTGACAAGACTTCTAACCGGCAGGACGCCTAATTTTATCACTTTCTGAGGTTCGGAATTCCAGGATCCATCTTAAAAAAAAATTTTACTTTCATTCAGATTCAGTTATCCATGCACAGGGCCCGGGGGAAAGGATCACAGATCATTTTATGCTTGTCTTTTTTTTTTAAGTCTACACCCAACGTGGGGCTGGAACTCACGACCCCGGCATCAAGAGTCACAGGCTCTACCAACCAAACCAGCCAGGCGCCCCACAGACCATTTTAAATAACAAGCAAAATACCATTGGTAATTCTGAGGCTGACACCTGGGTCTGGGTGTCCAGAGCTCGAGGAGTTGGCACCATGTCCATGAGACAACCTGACTCAGTAATGGAGCAACGTTCTGAGCCCAGTCCGGCCGCCTGGTATGAATCATTCAACCTGCGTCTCGGCTTTCTTCCCTGTAACATGGGGACGATACCACCACGCGCCCCCAAGGCTGCGTGAGAGCGTGAGTCGTGACCAAGCGATCAAAGAGCTCAGCGCCGTGCCCAGCACATAGGTGTCCGGTGAGTCCTATCATCTACAACAACAACACACGAAACGGCTTGGTTGTCAGTACAAGGCTCTATATCCGAATCAGCGTGGGACGAGGCTTACATTTCCCCATTACCTGTTCTTCCTTTTGAGATATCCCTGGCCACAGACTGTGTTATCGGGACCCACCACATCTTCAGTGCATTAAAAAAAAAAAGTCAGAACTGGGGGAAGAGGCTTCCCTCACTTCTCACGAACTCGTTCCATTCCTCCGGCACAGGCAGGGATGAAATATTTTGCTTTGAAAATATTTCCAAAGACCTACTGATGAGGTTTGTCACACTTTATATGAAGTGTGAGTCAACAGGCAACTGGGATGGCAATAAAAAGTATTTAAAGCAAGACTTTACATACGTTTTCAAAGTGACTGTGTAATTACCCTGTGAAACATTAAAATAAATTCTTCAATTTTCAAAGTAACAATTAATTAAGCCACGATGCCTAAGAACACAACTATAACCGTTAGTCTGCCAACGCCTCAGATCCTAATCAAAGCACTCTGCTCAAGGAAGGGGGCAAGGTCTTGGCTCTAAACCGAGTGCTTGCTTCTGGGTTCTATATTTGAACCACTGAACCTTTTCATCCAAACCCTGTTTATGAGTAACTGTCTTAAGCCGAGGTGTGCAGACGCCAAGAGGCACCTAGTCAAGTTTTGAACTTTGTAGCCTACTTTCAAGTTACGATTCAACTGTAGTGGAAATGCTTTTATGCTGCAGGTAGGCCAAAAGATGCTGCTGGACAATTACCGGTTCCAATGGATACTGACCTGCCGTTCACTTGTAAGATCTGCACCGAAACCAGGGTATCATTGTGCGGTTAAACACACGCACACGGTAACACGTGCACACAGCCACACATGCATACACATGCATGCAGTCACATGCACACACATGCAGTCCCATGTGCACACACACAGGCGTGCACACAGCCACACATGCATATACATGCATGCAGTCCCACGTGCACATGTGTACATGTAAGCAGACCCACGTGCACACACACGTATACACACACAGTCCCACGTGCACACACATGCAGTCACACATGCACACACATGCACACACATGCATGCAGTCACACGTGCACATGCAAGCAGACCCATGTGCACACACATGTATACACATGCACGCACACATCCACACATGCACACAGTCCCACGTGCACACAGTCACACATGCACACAGCCACACATGCATAAACATGCATGCAGTCACGCGTGCACATGTGTACATGTAAGCGGACTGACGTGTACACACACATATACACACAGGCAGTCCCACATGCACACACATGCGAACACACGGTCATGGGTGCACACACAGTCCCACGTGCACACAGCCACACATGCATACACATGCATGCAGTCACACGTGCACATGTGTACATGTAAGCCGACCCACGTGCACACACACGTATACACACAGGCAGTCCCACGTGCACACACATGCAAACACACAGTCATGTGTGCACACAGTCACACGTGCACACACGCAGTCACACGTGCACACAGCCACACATGCATACACATGCATGCAGTCACGTGCACATGTGTACATGTAAGCAGACCCATGTGCACACACACGTATATATACAGGCAGTCCCACGTGCACACACATGCAAACACATGGTCATGCGTGCACACGCAGTCCCACGTGCACACACACCCAGTCACGCGTGCACACGCAGTCCCACGTGCACATAGCCACACATGCATACACATGCGTGCAGTCACATGCACATGTATACATGTAAGCAGACCCACGGGCACACACACGTATATATACAGGCAGTCCCACGTGCATACACATGCAAACACATGGTCATGCATGCACACGCAGTCCCACGTGCACCCACACGTGGTCACATGTGCACACACAAGCACAGAGGCTTTTTCATCCAGGACTCACAACCCTACGAAGCCCTGCAGTCTTCACTTCCGGTGGGATTACAGCAGTTCAGGGTGGAGACACAATTCTCCCCAACACACACAAGGGCCTGAGAGTGCAGGGCTGAGGAAGAGTGCTCCACCTGACTGCCCCATGGTATCTGCGTCCTTGGATAGCTGTCACATGGCCACTGCCGAGTCCTCTGGAGCAAGAAATCTGCTGCAGACACGTTATTTTGCTTGAGGATTAACTTCTAACAATTGAACTTTGTTCTCTGAGCACCTAAGTTACTCTTTCTGCAGGTCCTGTGCTCTGGGCCCTTGCACAAAATCCCCTAGGGGCGGCAGGGAGGGCACACCAGTGGGCACTGGGCTGTGGGCGTCACCTCCAGCTGACAGTCCACCTGCCTGGGGACAGCCTGTCTCTGGAGTCTGCACTCTAGACCAGAGTGCTCAACCAGGCTGCCCAACCACGGCAGGGCCCCATTTTGAGCTGACACTAATTTCCTGCAGAATTCCAGATTTCAAGCTCCCTAAAAAGTCAAAGGCTTGCAACAGTGCTTGGCTGAGAAGCGGTGCAAGGGTGGTGGCCTCCAGCAAGTCTCCCACCTTGGAGAACACAACGGCCGAGAACAGACCTGTCCCCAAAGACGACATTCAGACGGCCCACGGGTGCACACATGAATGCGCGCTCAACACACTCAGCAGCAGAGAAATGGAACACTTGTGGGAATGGCCGTCCTCAAAAAGACAAGAGGTAACAAGGGTTGGCGAGGACGTGGAGGAAAGGGAGCCCGTGTGCACTGTCCATGGGAACGTAAACCGAGCAGCCACTCTGGAGAACAGCGTGGAAGTTCCTCAAGAGACTAAAAATAGAGCCACCCTCTGACCCAGCAATCCCACTCCTGAACACTGATGCGAAGGAAATGAAAACACCAGTCAGAAAAGGTAGATGCACCCCCATGTTTGCTGCAGCATTATTCACAACCACCAGCACATGGAGAAGCTCTAAGTGTCCATCAATGGTTGACTGGACAGAGATGTGCTGTGGAGTATTATTCACCATGAAAAACAAGGAAACCCTACCGTTGTAAGGACATGGATGAACTTTGAGGGCATTATGCTACGTGAGGTAAGTAAGACAGAGAAAGACGAATACCACATGATCTTACTCATGTATGGAAGCTAAAAACCTCCAACTCGTGGAAATATGGGGGGGGGTCATAGAGGATGGGGTGTGGGTGGGGGAGATGGTGCTTAAAGGCACACACTGGCAGCCAGAAGGTGAGTCCTGGGGAACCAACGCACCGCACAGACCTGAGAGTCCACAACACTGCGTTATGAGCATCCCAGTTGTAAGAAAGAGGATCCAAAGTGCTCTTACCACGGGAAGAGAAACAGTACATACGTGATAGGAGGCAGGGGTTAGCTAACGCAGTGGCGATGGCTCTGCAGCGCATACGTGGATCCAAACCTTAAACATGCACCGTGTTATACGTGAATTATGTTTCAGTAAAGCTGGGGGAAAGAAAGAAGGTTTCACCAGCCCCAAATTAAATAAATATAAACCCTGAATAAATTCATTGCACTGGGAGAAATACACATCAACATCCCAAATCAATTTAGGAAACTCAGCAGACGGGACTGAAATTATGGTACTTTCAGACTTCCAGATTTTTAGCAATTCCCATGAAAGTCCATCTCTGCCAGAGAGGCAGAAAGCACACCTTGAGTGAGCCACCCAAGCCAGAGACAACGGGGGAAAAGAAACACAGAGCGATGCCACGGTAAATATTCACATGCACCTAAAGCAACGCATACTTCATTCTAAATACAGCTGAGCCCATGCAGAAACCATGCATCTGAGCCACAGTGCTCACTTCCACGGGGCACACCTGCTGGCTGGGCCCTAAACCCGGGTGCTCCCGGGTCTCGACGGCGCACAGGCTTCCCGCCCTTCCCAGCTCTCTATCCCTGGGTGTGCAGGCAGGGCTCCCTTGCCCCAGGACAGTGATGGGCGCCCCTCAGGCTCAGCTCCACCGCCTCCCTGCAGAAGGCTCGGACCCGGCACCCGCCAGTGCTCCCCGGGCACCCTGAGCGCTGTTTACCCTCGGTGAACTGTTCGTCCCCGGGTGGGAGAAGTGGGACTTGCTCCCTTCTGCAGCTGCGGGTGAGGCAGGAGGCAGAGCGGCTGGACGGCTCCCTGCCTCCACCGCCAGGAGCCGCGGCCCGGTGCCCGCGCCGGAGACACCCATGTGCGCCAGGAGGCTGCAGACCCGCGCTATGGCCCTCTGGTGTCCCCGGAACCCACCGGAACCCTGGGCCAAGCCCGAGACAAGAGGAGGAGCCTGAGCGGGAGGGACGACAGCCAGCACGTGCATCCAGGTGGTCCTTACTGTTGGGCGCAGACCTGGTCCAGCCACTCACGCGGGCAGCCTGCGGTCCCCTCCACCCAAGAAGACAAAGCCTCGTGGCCCTGAGTGAGGGCACGGGCAGCGAGATGGCCGGGGTCTCGGCCGTTGGGAGAAGGACGCACATGGACCTCGGCACTTGGTGGAATGGGGAGGCATGGGCCGGGAGACCCGTGTCTGAAACCACTTCCCACCCGTGCAGCTGTGGGCAGCTGGGGGTGCTCGCGCTTCGCACTGTCCTCTTGAGGTTGAGCAAGCTGCATGTGCCTTGGGACGTGTGGTGATAGACACTCGCGGTGACGTGACCCAGGAACATGAAGCTCCGTCCACAGGAAACCCCCAGAAACCACCACAAGGCTGGACGTGTAGACGTGCCGCACGCAGTGTAGACACAATTACCTTCTGCTTTCGCGTAGACGGCCACGGCGCCGTTGACCAGGCCGGCGTACAGGCTCTGGGGTGTGCAGGCGAGGCTCATGACCGTGGACTTGTCCGGGGTGAAGAAGTGCTGCAGACGCACCTTCTTGGAGCCTTGACTGCTTTTATACACGGAAATGCTTCAAGAGAGACACAAGAGCCAGTAAGTGCATGTATCGGGCGGGCGTGCACTCGGGAGGCAGGGCCCACACAAGCGTGCACAGCAACTCCCCGCGCTGCCCCAGCCCCTCCCCGCCCCCGCCCCACACGCACACGCTGCTGCCACTGATCTCATCCCGTATTGTGAAGGAGAAATTGTGGAAGAAATTACTTCTTCCTAGTGAGTTCACATCAGGAAAACCACCATAAGGTGCCTCTGAACGGTGGCAGGATTCAGTACCCGTGCAGCACAGACCAGGCCCTGGTATACTCCAAACATGAGCAGTCAGCTACTTGTAAAAGCAGGACCAAGAAGAGACAGGTCAGGGGAAGCCGCCAGGCAGAACTGGGATGTTCCCTGCAGTCGCCATTCCTCCTTGGGGGTTTCACGTGGTCATTCCCCTGGGCGGGCGGCGACCAAGCCAATCCCACCACATGGTGTAACCCCTAACAGATGGGGCGGGTGACCGACCTACTGGGCTTGCCATGGAGCAGCACAGGGCTCACCTCCCCTCCTCGGTCCCCAGGCAGATGGTGGGCACACCCGGTGCTCTCCCGGCCGCGGTCTCGGGTTCCGCGTGCCGCTCCTCTGCGGGGATGAACACCATGCACAGGATTCGAGACTCCACGTTGAAGCACTCAATGACTTTGGGGTTGGAGTTTTGAAATGAGACGATGGCAATCTGGCCCATCTGGCTGGTGCAGCTTCCGATCTGGGGGGGAGAGGAGTGCCTGGAGCTTCCACAGCACCGGATCCCTGACCTCCGGGTAAATTCGTATCGCCACGGGAACCAACATACTTCACAGAATCAAGAGCTGTTTACACCATCTGCTCGCAGAGCCCGCCTTTCCTTTTCAACGTATGGGCTTACTTTCTCTTTTAATTTTCGTAACGAGAGCCCAGTTTTGTTTTTGTTTTTGTTTTAATTCCTATTTCTATCCCTGTGGTGGTGGCCGGCTCAGGCACAATGCAAAGGCTTCAGAGCAGATGAGAACCGGTCTTAAACTAACACCAGCGTCAGACACGCTCACCCAGGGAAACAAGGCCTTAAAAAGAGAGCGCGTCAGAGCGCCCCCCAGTGTGGTCACCAGCATGTGAGCTCGAGGCGCTGTGCCTTGGCCCTGGGACGCTGGTGGGCGGTAGGCACCCCCACGAACCTATCTGCTGGGTCACTGGACACCCCACAAGCTTCGTTCCCAACTTGAAGACCAATTGTTTTTTCAGTGGGAAAGAGTCACATCTTGTTAATGGAAGAATCAACAGGACAGAGCGCTCAGGGTCCTGGAGGGAAAGCCAGCCCGGAGAGGGGCGGGGGGGGAGCGGGCACTGAGGCTCCCAGCTCCCGTTCCCTCTGGGCCAGCTTTGGCAACGTTGTCCCACCCCCCATACTCATACCAAAGCATTTCCACGCCACAAAGAAGCGTCATGCTTTGACAGCCTTTCAGGGGAAGGGTGCCAAAGCTCCAAGCCCCGCTGGGCTGGCGGGGGAGCGGGGGTGGGGATGTGAGCAGGAGAGGGAATGAGGCACCAACTACGGTCCAAGTGATGGGAAAACTTCTCTGCTAAAATTCGAAAACCTTAGGGAAATAAGCCCATCCAGTCCTTCACAGCTGGGTGCACAGAACGGCCCGGTTACTTGGCCTGCTCCTTCTCGACACTCAGGGAGGTGCACTGACCACACAGAGGCTGGGGCTGTGGGAAGGTAGAGAGGTCACCTGACGGCAGGGCGCCTGGGAGAGATGGTCAGGGCGTGGTGCCGGAGGACAGCAGGGCACCCATCGGGGAGAGGTCTGGGGAGCACCCCGGGAGACCTCAAAACACAGCGCACAAGGATCGTCTCCCGTTTGCAAGAACCAGAAAGGCCCACTGCGATGGCAACATAATTCAAATGCAGTATTTCATTTGCAACAAATTAATTTTAATTGCAAAGTTTCCAGTGTAAAAAGCCAGCAATGTCTTGGAAGGGGGTAAAAAATCCCACGCAATTTAACCACCCAAATTTAAAAAATATTTAAATTACTCTCACATTAGCTAAATTGGTTGTCTCTGGGCTGAATCTAATCTGGCAAAGCTTTAGATGAAAAGAAAAAAAGAAACATTTTAATTCCTGAGACTTGGACACCTTTTCCAAAAGCGTTCAGTCCCCTCTCGTAGGTTTGTGACTTCCATGTTTATAAACACAGCCTGAGACACACGGCGACCAACGGCAAGTTCTGCATTTGAACCTCTCAAACCCATACTAACCACGGACCTCTCAGGAACCCACAATATAGACACACAGCGCGTCTTACCCACAGGAAGCCATGCGCGGTGGACAGCGAATCCGGCTGAGCCTCATTATTCAAGCAAGGTTCAGGATTGTAAGCAGCACATTCAATCTAATGGGGAATAAAATCAAACACCCACATTTAAAACAGGACCGGGGGACATCCTGGCGACACAGTGTCTCAAGCGGGTAAGAGACTACTGACATTTAGTCACAGAAACTGCAGGTTATTACTTGTTGCAGATTAAAACGGGGAAAAGAACAGATCTCAGAAACCAGCTTTTTAGAGGCAAACATCAGTCTTTACTCTTGCATCTTCAGACCCCGGCACGCACCGCAAACGTCCCTCATGAGACAGCACTGAGGTGGCTGCCACTCCCTGGGTGCGGCGGGAGGGCGCACACACCGCACCTCCTCCCCTCTGCCCACCCGCCTGCCCTCCCAGGAGCTCCAGGGCTGAGTGTCGGCCAGAGCCCAGAAAGGAGAAGTAAGAGTGTCTGTGCTCGTCTCATACAGAAAGACACAGCCACATGCTGCTGAAGGCACCTGGTACTTCAGAGAGTGCGGGAACACTGATAAATCACCACATGGCACGGGCCTGCTTTAGCAAAGAGAGAGCACAGTACTCCAGGCAAACACAAGGCCTCTAACTGTGACCCACTGTGGACACTGAATATGGCCAGGCAAAGGGCAGCAGAGCGGACAGACCTGAGGCGTGTGCCCTTAAGTAACTAACAATGCCTGGAATGCACCATGTGCAGCAGGGACCCCCAGCACTGGGACGGCCGCTGGGCAGAATGCACCAGGCACGGTGAGGACCCTCAGCCCCTGGACGGCCGCTGGGCAGAATGCACCAGGTGCGGCAGGGACCTGAGCACCCAGACAACCGCTGAGCAGAATGCACCAGGCACAGTGAGGACCCTCAGCCCCTGGACGGCCGCTGGGCAGAATGCACCAGGTGCGGCAGGGACCCCCAGCACCCAGACAATCGCTGAGCAGAATGCACCAGGTGCAGCAGGAACCCCCAGCACTGGGACGGCCGCTGGGCAGAATGCACCAGGCACAGTGAGGACCCTCAGCCCCTGGACGGCCGCTGGGCAGAATGCACCAGGTGCGGCAGGGACCCCCAGCACCCAGACAGCTGCTGGGCAGAAAAGCAGGCTTTCAGCTTCATAGTCTAGTAATCTGAATTCCTAAACAAATACCCACAGAGAAATGGTAACTGGTTGGCCTGGGGAAACAACATGGGACTTTGCCCCAAACCGGACAAGCAAGGACTGTCTCTGTGCACAGCGGACCCCATTCCCAGGCCCTTCCTGCCCATCACCTTGAACTCCTGCTGCTTGGCCACTGTCACCGGCATGTGTCCCACGAGGAGAGGGTGTCTTTCCTTCTTGATCTGATTCCCGTCATCTTCCACACAGAACCAGCCCATGTGGTTCTCCTCCTCTGCGGCATGTGAACGAGAAACGGGGAAGGGCAGCACTGAGCCACCAGCAGCTCTGACACGGCCCTGCGGGCCCCAGACTCAGACGTCATATTCTACACCGGCCTGCAGAGCTGAATACTGTTTCTGGAACACAGCACGATCTCTTTTTAAAGGAAGGACTGTATGTTCACTGCTTTATTCTGAAAAGCGTGTCCTGTTTTCCTGTTTGCTCCCCGATTGCACGGATGTGAAGGGCTGACAAAGTCCTCGTAAAGCACCTAGGATTATTTTTCTTTTTTTTTTTCAAAGCAACTGAGATGTTTAGATTCAAATACCACAGACACAGTGAGAGTTAACATGGTAGAATACTACGCGATAAAAAAGCGTGAGACAGGGGCGCCTGGGTGGCTAAGTCAGTGAAGCGTCTGCCTGCGGCTCAGTTCGTGATCCCGAGGTCCTGGATCGAGTCCTGCATCGGGCTCCCTGCTCTGCAGAGGGTCTGCTTCTCTCTCTGCCCCTCCCCCCTGCTTATGCTCTCTCTTGCATGCGTGCGCTATTTTTTTTTTTTTAAGATTTTATTTATTTGACAGAGAGAGACACAGCGAGAGAGGGAACACAAGCAGGGGGAGTGGGAGAGGGAGAAGCAGGCTTCCCACAGAGCAGGGAGCCTGATGCGGGGCTCGATCCCAGGACCCTGGGATCACGACCTGAGCCCGAAGGCAGACGCTTAACGACTGAGCCACTCAGGTGCCCCTAATTAATTAATTTTTTAAAAAGCGCGAGGAAGTGAAGAGACATTTTGCTATAGAGCAAGTTGTCAATCTTGGCTGTGAACGGATGAAAGGAAGCCTATTTTCAGGTTCAGCCTCTCTTCTCAGAGAGGGGCCGTTTCTGGCTTGCCGATGCAGGTAAGAGTCTGCCCTGACAAACCATGGAATCATTGGGGGAGAGAGAGGAGAGCCCGCGGGAGCCCGGGCGGCGGCGGGAAGGCTCTCCATCCCCACTAACCGCGGCTCCCTGCGGGCTGAGCAGCAGCTCGGCCTGCTTCTCCTCTGTATTTTATTTTCACTTAGCAGACTGCCGGCGTCTCAGAGAGAACAGCACACGTGCATGCGGTATCACAGTGTGTTCTGAGTAACAGATCCATGTGTAAACGACATACATGCACACATATCGGTCTGATTCACGGCTCAACAGACCGCAAGGCTGCAAGCAGAGGAGCAAGAAAAAATCAAGTCCCCTCGTCTCTGATCAAAGCACATGACTTCCTTTCCACGCAGGCAGGATCTCCAGTGACACCTCAGGGCCACCCTGTACGTTTCCCCAGGTGAGGGAGGGAAGAAGGACGTCCCCACTGCAGGGCGGGGCCTCCTGGCGCACAGGCCACACACCCAGCCACAGACCCACAGGGCTGTTCTGCTCATGTGCACAGTCTCAGCTGATGTCAATGTGTGCGTATAATAAAAGCAAGGGCTTATTTTTTCTACAATCTCTGAATTTATATAGATATCTTCAAAATCACTCCTGCTGGGGGGTGGGGGGACACCTGGTTGGCTCAGTGGGTTAAGCGTCCCACTCAATTTCGGCTGAGGTCGTGAGATGGGGCTCCGCGTCGGGCTCCCTGCTCAGTGTGGAGTCTGCATCTCCCTCCCTCTCTCCCTCTGCCCCTCCCCAGCTCTCGAAATAAATAAAATCTTACAAAAAAATCACTCGTGCTGGGGTTCATTTTTCCTGTTTAAAAACATTCTTTCAGGGCACCTGGGTGGCTCAGTCGGTTGAGCATCTGACTCTTGATTTCGGCTCAGGTCATGATCTAGGGGTCCTGGGATCAAGCCCCACATCGGGCTCCCCACTCAGAGGGAGTCTGTATGTCTCCCTCTCCCACTGCTCACTCACTCTGTCTCTCAAATAAATAAACCTTTAAAAAAACAAAACTAGAAACATCCTTTCAGGCGAACAGAGAAATCTACTGTCAAGGTCTTTCTTGTGATGCTCTCTCCCGGGCACGGACTTCACCACCACGGAGAAAAGCAGAGGACGGGGGCACGCACTTGTCTGCACAGGCCTCACAGAGCTGAGGTCACGCCACTCTTACCCAGGGCGAGCTTGGCCATCTGCAGGTTGTTGATCCAAGACTCTTTGATGGCAGGGGTGAAGGTACTGAACACAGCAGTGAAGAACGTGGGCCGCCCCGACCTGCCAGGAGGAACGGAGAGGCATTCGGTTTACACACTGTGGGATCACAGGGCGAACTCTGCCCGTCCTGCCCGGTGGCCACGACTGCGCCACTAGAGCCATCCTCAGTCCTGCCCAGGAAGGCTGCCTTGCAAAGTCACCACTGACTTGTCCTGCTTCCCCCGGAGCTGCAGCTGGATTCGGCAGCAATCCGCCGCACGGATTTCCTCTTCCTTCTTCAAAATGAGCCTCTGTAAACCCGACGTCCAATCATGGGCCACGGACTGGTTTAAGTTCTGCGAAGGGAACACGCACGCGCGGTGAAGGTGCTGATAAGGCAGGGCCACCCCCAGAGAGTAGGACAGTGAGGCTGGTGCACGAGCCCTCGAGGAGACTAGCTCTCACAGTGCATTCCCAACAGACACCCCTGGAGCTCGGGCTGCACGCAAATGAAGTGACCCCAGGACAGCTTCAGCCCCAACCCCCTGCCCAAAACAGGAGAAAACACACCATCAGACTCGTTCTCAAAATCGCCCTGATTCTCACTTCCGGTAGAACCCGGAGGCATGGCCACACACTGACGGCAGTCTAGGATGTGGAAACAGAATTCTATGGCCCGGGGCCCCGCCAGTTACCTGGTAGTTTCCTCTGAGGTTCCCGATGAGCTGAGAGATCTGACCGACGATGTTCAGGTCATGCAGCAGGTTCTGTAAGTCTTGATACAGCTGCCCTGGCCCCACGCAGACCTGGTCTGCAGGAGAAGCAGCAAAACAGCACCAACTGAGAGCCCCCAACCCAAGAGGGGCCACCGCACCAGCGTTAAAATGCCAGGTGATTGAGAATTTCTAAAAAATGGATCTCTTCAAGCATTTAATGGTTTTTCCTTTTCTAACTTCTCATTTTGGAATGACTTCAGACTTACAGAAAAGATTCAGAGCTCCCCCCGTGTATGCCCTTCACACCGCGTCCCGTGACATTAAAATCTCAGAGAACCACGGCGCCGTCGTCAAACCCACGAAGTCACGTGGACACGACACTGTTCACTAACCTGCAACCCCCATTTGAGTGTCCCAGCTTCCGCCCTGAGCTCATCCTCTGCTCCCAGACCAATCCACGGCCCCACAGGCACTTGGCTCTGGTCTCTTTGACTCGTGAGCACCTGTCTTCCAGGACCTGAACTCCTGGGCCACGGCTGGTGCATTAGGTCACAGAACCTCTCTCACTTGTGTTTTTAACACATTGTTGATGTCATTGCGGTTAGTAAGAGCTACCTAGGAATGGCATTTAACCTAAACCAGATTTCCAATGACCAGGGTCATCCAACATCAAAATGAGCTCCCCAGTGCCCTTTCTCTAAAGGACAACGGGACACCAAGAAGGACAGTGATGGGCCAGGGAAGAGCCCTGTCCCTGACTCGGGGCCACCTCTGTGTGTGGGGGAATACTCATTCCCCTCCCCCCCCAACAGAACTACGCCCCGTCCCCCATTCTCCTGGTGAGGACGCTGAGGCCCCACGCTGACATGCAGGTGGGATCCCAAGGCAGAATCCCTCTCAGAGGCCCCCTGTAAAGGACATGCGGTCACAGCCCCCCTCTTCCTCTGTGTCCATGGAAACAGACGGCCTCAGCCCCTCCCCCCCTCCCCCCAGCGCCCAGCAAACCCAGGGAGCAGAGCAGATTCATCCACCTCAAACAAGGTGAGCCTCCTGGAGTCTGTTTCCACAAGGCAGCTTCTCGGGCGTCAACCCGGGTGTGAGTAAGGTAGACGTCACCCTTAGAACTTAGCACTAGGCCTTGCTGGGTCAGTCATCGGCAGTTGGCAAATGAAAAGCAAATATGCGTGCTATTAGCTAAAACTACTTTAAGGGACAAACATACTGTTAAGGGAAGATAAAAAGTTAGTACATGTGACCGCTGGGACGGTTTTCAGGGCTGGCCCAGGAGAAACCAAGCCTCCTGGCTCCTGTCAGGCTCTGCGGTCACGGTCTCAGAATTCTTAACAGTGGTGAGCAAGGTGCCCTGTGTTTTCATCGTGCATGGGGCTCAGTCAAGTACGCGGCTTATTCCATCCTCCCCTGGTACGTCTGTGTTAAAAACGAAGATATATTTCCAACACAAATATTTCAGATGTGTATCCATCTAACCACACTCACTGCTTCACCGTAGAGTAAGATAACAATGAGTAATTTTGCAGAAACGCCATTAAAGACATTTTTACTTGGATCTTTATGCTTCCACCAGGCCCGATTTTTAGGACTCATCTAGACAAATTGTATGATCAACTGCATATCAAGTATCTTCATGAAGTTTCATTAAAAAAAAGGAACAAGCTGTTCAACTGATTACCATTTATCAAATTTGTTTTTCCTTAACAGTACGTGCACATAATTTAAAACATCTGTAGTGCACACCACACACATTTCTTTCATTTATAAACTTCTGATGACAGACTCCATGAACTCACCCTTGTGATAAAATTACTCCTGCTACATGAACTCCATCAATTTGCCCACATCTAGTTTTTAGTTATTTTTTTAAATTGTCATACAGTAAAACCGACACTTTTACCTTGGGTACATGGTCTTTGAATTTTAACAGGGGCAGGTATGGGCCACAGAACAACACCTTCACCCCCAAAGACGCCGGCCTGTCCACCCTGCCACACCCAGTCCCATCCAGCAACCACTGGTCTCTTCTCCATTTCCGTTTTGTCTTCTCAAAAATGTCACGTAAGGGTGCACCTGGGTGGCTCAGTCGTTAAGCGTGTGCCTTCGGCTCAGGTCATGGTCCCAGGGTCCTGGGATCAAGCCCCGCATCAGGCTCCCTGCTCAGCGGGAAGCCTGCTTCTCCCTCTCCCACTCCCCTTGCTTGTGTTCCCTCTCTCGCTGTCTCCCTCCGTCAAATAAATAAAATCTTAAAAAAAAAATGTGGTGTAAGAGTGCACACGATATCCCACTTCTGTTTTTTAAACACATATATAGGATATTTCTGTGCGCACAGAGGTCTGACTGAGTTGCCTTGAGTTGGGGAGGCCAGCGTCTAACCTGACTCAGCACCTCACACATGCAGTCCTGAGCTCGGTAAGCAGAGCACGTGAGCACGAGGAGAGCAGGGCCGGGCCATACCCTGCAGAGAGACGCTGCTCTAAGCGTTTGCGACGTGAGCAGGGAGGTGGGCTCCAGCCTGAGCACACTGAGATTCTGACATCGGTGCCTGCCCTGCAAACATGTTCCTCCCATGGAGCTCCCGCGTGTCACGCGATAAAGCACGTGTCTCAGGAGACAGAGACCACTAAACGCTAGGTCAGAGGTGTCTCAGGGGCCAGGCTGTATCTTCCCCATCGAATCTCGCCACCGGGGACTCAGGACTCCTTCTGGGAGAACCCCAAAGCCTCTCCCATCTTGCGTTCCTCGTGTGCACCCAGCGATGGGTGTGTCTTCCCACCCACCTTGGTACCACCCTGAAGCTGGAGGGGGATGGTGTGCCTGGCATCTGCAGTATTTAAACCAGGACAGCTTCGGGAGCTCCCCAAGTCTCCCCACATGAGCAACTACTCTACAGGTGGCCGCTGCCTCGGAGCCTCCGGGAAGCAGCCCTGCAAAGAGGAGCCCCATGCACCCCCAGAAGCCAGCCGGCCGCAGCAGGTGGGCAGCCTTCACCCACAGAGGCTCCCCGTTAAGGGCGTGAGCTGTGTCAGTCATCAAGTGATCTCAGCTTTGGGGAGCAGTGGGCAAACGGTTAGCACATGGACAAGCTGAAGCTGGTGGAGCATTTCCGTGAACCGTGTGCACACACTGGTGGTACCATGTGTGAGACAGACACGCTGGACTGGAAGTCCTCTGTGGCCGTCGTGGACGCGCCGCCCAGATGCCAAGAACTCACAGGTCGTCTCTCACCGGGGCCTCCCCACCCCACGCCTCCCGGAGACGGGCCGTCCTGCCTGGGTGCTCAGGACGGCAGGGCCCCGCGGTCACCCCACGGTCACCGCTGCTGGGTCACCCAGGCCAGAGTGCCCAAGCAGGCGCAGCGAGGCGGGAGATGGGGCAGGAAGGAGAGCAGGACTCAGGTGGACAGAGGGCCACCACGGTCCTCATACTCAGATTTCAAAACCAAACCTAAGCATACACGTGCGTTTCTGGCCCGGTCACTAAAGACTCGTACGTGCTAAATGTTTCGGCTGTCTGCACGAATGGAAGGAAGGCAGGGTTGATTCTCAGCGCTCCTGGCGTGCAGACCGCGGTCTCGTGAACGCATCTTCACCGCCCTCCAGTGTGGGCCTCGGGAGCCTCACTGCCCTGAGAAGCCATCTGGGTCTCAACATAGGTACAACCAAATCTCATTGACTGAAAACTTGTACGGAGCTCAATACTCAGCGCACCATGAAAGGAAAGAGGACAAATTCCACACAGGGCTCCAAGGCAGCTGCGGCACAGTGACACAGCCAGCCTTGCTCCATTGCAGGGGGCTGGCCTGGACGCTCTTGGTCCTGGTCACCGTCTGCGGGGGCGCTACGGACCACGTGTTACCAGCCCAGCACCAGACGCAGACCATGGACGCAGACCGTGGGGGTCTAGCCGACAGTCTTCAGCTGCTGTCCAGGAGCAGAGCGGATGCCGGTGGGCAGCCAGCTGGGTCTCTGCGACGGGGGGGCGGGGAGCCTCCCCTCCATCGGGGCACGGGGAGCTGAGGGTCACGCACAGCAGGGGAGCGAGCTCGGCGGCACGGCTTCAGGCAGATGCCACGGATGCCGGCATCACCAAGGCAATCGGGACGCGCCTTCCTCCTCTCCGGTCCCTCCCAGGGCAGCCCTGACCCTAAAACGTGCTGTGCCTTTCCAATCACTAGGGTCTCCCTGGAGGCAGCTGCGCCCTCCTGTCCTCTGACCTTGCGGACACCCCGGCTCGCTGGCTCAGAAGGGAGGCAGGCCGCAGGTGTGTCCCCACCCACAGGCCACGGCAAGCTCGGGGACGCTGGGGGGGGGTGGCGCGTGGATCAAGCCCTCAGCCCTCGAGACCCCACACCGGGACTGAACAAACCCCATGTGCTGGCCCTTTGCTTCGCAGAGTGAGAACCTGGCCCCACAGCCCAGACTGAGGGCTCCTGGTGACACAGAAGTTGAGGCCTGGCTTCGTATTTTAAAAGTGCAGGCACCACGTGGGCCTCTGCCTTCCGAGGTAGAGGGCTCAGAGTGTGGTTTCCACCCACTGCTGACGTGCACCCCTGCACACCCACTTCTGGCTACAGAACCATAAACCACACCCACATCCCCCCAGTGTGGCATCCGTGGTCTCTTTACAGTTCACTTTCTGCCCAGGACCCGTCCCACCCCTGCCCCAGCCTCTCCCTCTGGGACACTCCTCAGAATTCAAGGATGCCTAGGTCTCTGCCAGCTCATCTATAACAATGATGTGATCCCCTCCTTGTCCCCGACCCCTGGTGCCCACTGTCAGAGCCCCCACTTTGCAGCCGGACTGCAGAAGGAGGTCTGGCACTTTGAGAAGACTTGAGCAGAGAGCGGACACAGTCTGTAGATGCTCTGGGGATGGGAGGGGACGCTGATCCAGAGCGGATGGTCTGGCTGGCCTTCTCTGTACAGAGCTGCTGGGGGCAAGCAGGGGGCGACTTTGCTCCCTGGAGCTGCACGCTGCCCGAGAAAGGGCAGGACGCCACCGGGGTGGTCTCACCCTATTCCCACGGCGATTTTTGGCGGCACAGTGTGCAGTCTGCGGTTGCTCCATGAGAAGCAGATGC